GGGATTACAGGTGTGCACCACCAAGCCCAGTTTTGGTGTTTGTTTTCAATGTAGATAAAATTTCCAGACTTTTAAAACGCTATTTGTTCTTTTGTTTAAAGTTCTCCACTCAGGGCCGGGGATTTAGCTCAGTGGTTGTGGTGCCTGCTGTGTAAGCACAAGGTCCTGAGCACAAGGTCCTGAGTTCAATCCCCGGTACCAAAAAAATTAAAAAAAATAAAGATCTCCAATCAGATTAGGTAAGTATTCACCAATATTTTTCCAGTTTTTAAAATGATTTCACTGTTTACATGTAGCACGTTCGTCCATTGGTGGGTTCTGTTGGTGTGTTTTGTTTTGTTTTGTTTTGTTTGGTACCGGAAATCGAACTCGGGACTTTCCACTTGCGAGGCAGGCATCGGCACCACTGAGCTAAATCCCCAGCCCCTGGTGGTGTGTTTTTAATCTTTTGTAGGTCACAAGTTTCTTGCGCACCAACACGGGAGCCAGTGTTTAGCGTACACCACCTGCCCTGGCCTGAGCCCCCTGAAGACTGACACATGGGCCAGCAGACCCCCTCTCTTCCTCCTGCTGTGGATCCTCCCCACTAGCTGAGCTCCACTCTCCACTTCTTGTGGAACTGGGCCAGCCTGTGTAGCACTGTTCCACTGCTCTCTGATTTCTGTTTACCTAGATCAGGACAGGGACAGCCCACCCGACTTTCCCAGCTGCCTTTTGTTACTTCTTCTCTGGAAAGGCAGTATGACGAATTTTTTAAATATTTCCTTCCAAGTAGGCACAGAGCTTCTTAAGTTAAAATTTTATTTTCTGATAAGAAAAATGACCCATGTTCACCATTTTTAAAATTGGAAAATACAGAAAACACCAAACAAAAAGAAAATAAGCCCCAGAATCTCTCTACTACTACAACTGTCTGAAAGCATATAAAGGAAAAAACCCAAGCCCTACCATACCCAAGATGACCTCTTAGTCAGAGATTACCAACCTCTGTAAACAGTTGATATATATCCCTCTAGACTGATTTATACAAACAAAGGTAAATCTTTAGAGAGATATGACATATATGCAGAGTTTAGCTCATGAAAATAGGGTGATACTCAGGCTGGGCATGGTGGCACAATACCAGTAATCCTAGTACTCAGGAGGCTGAGGCAGGAGGATCACTGAGAGTTCAAGGCCAGCCTGGACTACATAGCCAGACCTTGTCCCCCCTCCCCCCCCCCAAAAAATCATGCTCTATACTTTCTTCATCAATTTCTTTCTTTTTTTTTTTTTGGTACCGGGGATCGAACCCAGGACCTTGCACTTTTGAGGCAGGCATCGGAACCACTGAGCTAAATCCCCGGCCCCATCAATTGCTTTCTATAACAGTATATTGTGTACATCTTTCTAAGATGGTTAATAGAGACCTACTGTGTTCTTTTCAAACGCTGCATGGTAGTATTCTGCTGCATGGATGTACCATTATTTCTTCTCCCCTGAGGAACGAGCGTGAACTTTGCCAATACCCACCTAATATATACAGGCTACTGTAAACACCTTCATTCTACTTCTATTCATTTCTGCTCCCATTTCCCTAAGATAGATTTGAACACTGGGATAGTTAAGGGGGATGTATACATAGTATGCTGTACAAACTGGAAGTTGCCCCTCATCAAAACCTTCTACTGATAAAGGAACCTCCTTTTGTTTTTGGTACCGGGGACTGAATTTGGGACCTTGCACTTTCAAGACAGTCTGTCGGCACCACTGAGCTAAATCCCGGGCCCTCCTTTTTTTTTTTTTTAAGGCACTTCCTTTTAAATGTTATTTTTCGTTCTCTCTCCCTACCTAGTTCCTTCCTCACCCTTTTGCTGGATTAACTTTTTAAACATCCAGATCTAATTGTGGCTTTCTCTGTTTGAAATACTTAAATGGCTTCGAACTGCTAACAAGTTCTGAGTATTTATCCTGGCAGACACCAAGCAGAACTGGAACCGCAGATCGGGGGGCGGGGGTCATGACACCTATGAAAGATGAAGGGGCAGGGAGCAGAAGGGGGCAGGGAGCAGAAGGAGGCAGAGAAAGGGCAGCCCTCAGCGGCCACGGCCATGGCCGTCTAGCTCCTCAGAACGGAAGGCAGGGAGGAAGATCAGGTGGGAAGAGCCTCAGACAGGAAGATCAGGTGGGAAGAGCCTCAGACTGGGCCTCAGCCCTGAGCGTGTCTCACCCAGCCCAGGGCCTCTGGCTACAGATTCCCCTGGGGCAGCAGTGGACAGGCCCCAGCCTCCCACCCCCGTTCCACCACTGGCTGGGAGCTGCCCAGGCGCGGCCTTGACCTAAGGGACCGAGCAGATCCCGAAGCTGCAGGGCATCAGCCAAGCAGCCCATGCAGAAGGTCCTCTGAACGCCAGGATCCGTAGCTGCCGTAAACCAGAGCCTGCATTTTAGCCTAATCTCCTCTCCCTGCTCCCAGACCCTAAGCTCCTCCAGCACCACTGGCCTGACTACATCCCATCCCCACAGGACCAGCCTCCTCCATAGCGTCCTGCAGAGCTGCTCACTCGGTTCTCTCTGCCTGGAAAGCCACTCCTTCCCAGCTATGCCAGCAAAATCCTAATGTGTTTTCAAGGCCCCTCGCCTCCTGTCTCGTCTTCCTGACCCTGCTACACAGTTAATTGCTCCTTGCTCACGTGGTACTGTTTGTTGATGAGTACATCCCAGGCTGTGTCTCTTAGCTGCTTTTTTCCCCCTTGGATTCTTGCCCCCTCCAACCTCTAAACATCACTGGTGTGGGTGCACAGTAAATGCAAAGCCGCTTCCTTCTTCTCCCAAAGGATCTTAAGGTTGGAGAACTCCAGCTCCTGGAATGGGTTGGAAGCAAAATGGCCCATAAATGTTCACTGACTCTTCAGGACCTCCTGTGGGCGCAGCCTCGCGTGGGCGTGGCTCCCAGGGCGCGTGGGGTGGGGTGGGGTGGGGTGGGGTGGGGTGGGGTGGGGCCGGGGCTGTTTCCTGTGCCGGGGAATCACCCAGCCTGGGCCCAAGTCAGTTTTCAGAGCAGAGACTCTCTTCCTTTGTTACATTTTTCTCCATGAGTGGGAAAGACGCCAGAGGTGGTTTTGTTATTTTTTGTTGTTTTTTGGGGTGGGGTGGGGGCTGTTGGTTAGTTGGGTTTTTTTGAGACAGGGTCCCACCAAGCTGGTTCTGAACTCACTAGGTAGTCCAGACTGGCCTCAAACTCATCGAAGTCTTCCTGCCCCAGCCCCTCAGCAAGTGTTGGATTACAGGCCTTTGCCACCACTCTGGCTTTTTTTTTTTTTTTCTTTTTTAAATAATCATTTTATTGTCTCTGCTCAACAGATGGGTACTTTTAGGAATCTTCCCTTTTTCAACCACATTTTCATAAGTTGAGATTTTTCAGTTCACCATTTTTCATTCTCTTTACAGTGTAAGAAGAGCCATTATGATACTTGGGATGCGATCTGCAGGTCAGATGAGGACAATCATGTTCTGATTAGAGGTTCACAGAGTGGGGAAGGTTGGAGGGTGGAAATGACATTTTCCCTTTTTTTCTTCTCCACACTTGCCACCTGAAGAGCGTCCTTGGGAGGGGCCTGTGGGGAGTGCAACCGGGGCACTGATGTCAGGGCTGGTGGGTGAGGAAGAAGGAGAGAGCAAAGAAGCGGAGCTGGCCCGGACTCTGCACCCCTTCAGATGTCCCGAGCCGTCTCCTGGCTGTGCTGGTCAGCAGGAGGCGGCTAGAGCTGGGGTGGCCGTCCCGTCCCTGGCCCCTGTCTGGCCCTCAGGGGAAGCTGCAGGGTTCCTCCATCGAAGCCAGGGCCGTGGCCTCCATCTTCTCTAGTGCAGGCAGGTGGGAGTGGGGGTTTGTGGCCCGAGCCTCAGCTGTTGGGCCAGCCTTAGCAGCGGCTAATAGTTCTTCCAGATTTGCAGTGAGTGGAAGCCTGTATGCCGGGGGTTCTTATCTCCAGGTCCAGAGTGTTGTTTGGAGGTCCGAACCCACCCCCTAAGTGTTATCAAATTGTGCATGTGGTGGAAGCATAGCTCTCATGATTCCTTTTCACCAAAAAGGTCTGTGGGCCCAAAGAATAGCAGCTTTTCTAATACAGAAGAGGCTGTTTTCCTGTAAGAGCAGGACTTTAGTTGGATTCCCAGTGCTGAGTAATGGGGGCCCCAGGATGATTCTAGAAAGAAGCCCAGATCTCCCCTCCACACTGAGATTGTCCCCCAGAAACTCTGCAATTCCCCCGTAATAGAGTTCATATTAACAGGGACCTTGCAGGCTCTGTTGCTACAGATCCAGAGACTGAACCCTTAAGAGTTAGGCCCAGTGGTCTGATTCCCTCCTCCAGGGAGAACAGTGCAGAGACACAGCAGATAGTGTGTCAATAGGATAGCAGTAAGAACAGAATGTTGCCTGAGAGGCTGAGGCTGGAGGATTGCATGTTCAAGTCCAGCCTGGGCAACTTAGTGACTTAGTGAGACCCATTTAAAAAGGTTAGGGATAGTATATAGCTCAGTGCAAAGGCCCTGAGTTCGATACCCAGTACTGACCTAAGAAAAGAAAAATTGGAATATTGCTAGGCTGTTGAATGAATCCCTGTATTTATCATTATTCAGTCATTTTAAGAACTCCCATTTCAAGCCTGAGTTCTGGGTATATTCTGGTCTCCACTTCAGGCAGACAGTTCTGATGTTGCAGAAACCATCAGGAGTATCCAATGCATGGCAGTGGGCACCAGAGGAGAGGAAACCCAGAAAAGGGGAAAAGTGAAACTTCTTAAATTAGAGCAAAATATTCAGTCATGCAAGACCACAACTATAACATGATAACCTCTCCAGTTTTGACAGCCCCTCCACATTTATTTTTTAAGTGCCTGCCACAGTTATGGATAGGGAACTATATCTCTTTAAGATTTCTCAAGGGTTGCAAAACAGTTTGGATGGTTATATCATTCTAAACAACGTTTTGTGAAAGCACTGAAAAAAATCCCACTTACTTAACAATTGGTGCCTTGAGCCAAGCCTGGGAGTCCCTGGGAGGCTTTGCAGAGTCACTTCCCTCTGCTGGCTTGGTGGGCAGGGCTCTGGCTTGCGGAGTGCGCGGGGGCAGGGCCGGCAGAGGCAGGAGGGAGCCGTGGGCGGGCGGGAGGCACCAGACCTCCTCAGCAGCGGCGGCAGGCAGCTGTGTCCTGTCACGGGAGGCGCGGGAGGGAGCAGACACAGGCCTCTGGGGCTGGGCCCTTGGGGAGGGAGTGTGTTCCAGGCGTGCTCTTCCCGTCAGACCACCTGACAGGAAGGTAGGAAGAGTTCCCGAGCCCCTGGTGGGGCCTTTCCCTTCTCTCTTTTGGTCTCTTCTGACACCTCCGGGCCTGCCCTCATTGCAGTGTCCTTGGTCCTGTATGCCAGTGGGAATGGCTTAACATCATCCTTCCCCACTCAGGTTTCAAGTGCACCTCAACTTTGACCTGAGAAATATTTTTAGTTAAGAATTCTCCTTTCCCAGATGGCTGTTTTAGAAATGCAGTTGTTAGCTAAAGCTATGTTACTCACTAGTGTAAATTAGCTTTATCAAACTGATGTGCTTCTATTTAAAGAGGGCTTGATCCCATGGTTCTTAACTTGCTTGGGGTCACATCCCTTCCAGAATCTAATGGAGTAGATGGAACCGTTCCCCAGGAAAATTCACAGACATCCAGAACTGTGCTTACATTTAGAGGTCTCAGGGACCCCTTTGGCCCTGCCCTGGGATTGATTCTTAGGAAAGAGCGGTAAATGGGGAAAGGCGGTGGTGAAGACCAGGGAAAATGGACAGGCAAGGAACTTAAGAGTGAAAACTCACTTCACGGTTTCACCCAGGCCAGTCCTGGGAAAATATCACTGTGGAGTGAGGGCTGCAGACTGTGCTCACTGCCTGTGCTAGGGAAAAGGGATCCTTCCGTCAGCAGTGACGCACAGCCCTGGCAGAGGGGCCGGGGTGCTGTGCCTTCGGTACCCTGCATGAAGCTGGATGAAGAGAAAACCCCCCAGGAACTCGAGTTCACTGCTGTTGGAAGAGGCAGGTGGTGGCGAGTGTCCATCGGGGGTTGGGGTCCTTTTGGCAAGGTGACAGGAGCCGATGGCCTGCCACCACCACCACATCCCTGCTGAAGACCCAAGGCCCCGTCTTTCCAGACCCTAAACTCAAACCTGGACACCAAGATCTCTTTCATTCTCTTTGGGGATGTCGTTTTCACAGCACAGCTTGTGATTTCAGGGTATTATTCTGTTCAAGTGGGGGGAAAACAGGGAAAGTTTTCGGATCCAGAGTTCATCCAGAGGCATCAAAGGGGATTTTGGAAGTGATGCAGCATAGTGAAGCGAGCCTAGCGATTGTTTGTAGTCCAGCGCTTGTCATGCGAAGCTCCTGGTGTCTGTGTGGTGACTCAGGGGGGGAGAATTTCCCCTTCGTGAGCCAGCTGGACAGTGTCAGCCCTGCTCTGTAGCAGGCCCTGGCACAGCGGAGCCGGGGCTAAGGGAAGTCTGCAGGGTTTGAGAGCTGAACCCAGTTTAACACACATGAAAAGGGTGATCTTCCTCTTAAACCAATCAGCCAGACTCCTCCTAACCCCAAAGAGCCACTCCCAGCATCTGCCACAGCCTCGTCCAAACGGGACAACTGCACCTATTGTCAAGCTGATGGCAGCTTGGCTCCCATCAACACATCGCATGTCACAAGGCCAGGCTTTCTCCCGGCACACTCCAGTAGACAGACCCTCATGATCTGACGCAGTCCTCCCGTGCACCTCAGGGTTTCTCCTTCGCTCCTTTGTGTTGCTTAGTACTAATCATTTCTGTTACTATTTCTGAGATCTCTGGACTTGATATCAAGTAAGGTAAAGACTGCTTAAGAAGGATACAGAAAAGGGCTGGGGATTTAGCTCAGTGGTTCTGCCGCCTGCTTCGCAAGTACAAGGACCTGAGTTCGATCCCTGGTACCAAAAAAAAAAAAGGATACAGAAAGCTAGCTGTAGATGAACAGATCTATAAACTTCAAGAATTTGGTCTGACAATTGCACTTTGAGAACCATTAGCATAGGCCAAAACCAGCTAGTCCTGGCCACTGCTTCTCACCTCAGGTACAGGTGAGTGAAGAGGGAGATGGAGGAGGGGGATGGATGGGTGGGATGGACCAGCACCTGGCCTGTCACCTTAGGCCACTGTCTGAGCCATTTACACCTCAGGTTTAATTTAGGGCCATGATGGATGTGTTACATTTGAATGGGCCAATGATATTACATTGGGTATGATGAGGAAAGAACTGTCAAGCATACACCCAGCAGTAAGTAGTAAGCAGCCACTTTTGCTGAGGATCACCGGAAGTTGTGCTCAGGGCCAGTTCATCCCAACAAAGGTACAACACTGACCGGGAAAGGTGCCAGGCAACAGAAAAGCACGGCACACAGGTCGAAGGTCGCAAGAGCCACACACGAAAAAGCAGCCGATAACTCAGGCTCTCAGAATTTAAAGCCAGACGCCTCTGCTCTAGGTGCCTCTCCGACTCTCTAGGTGTGACTGACTGACAGCATGCTGAGCCCTCTCAGGGGCTGTTAGTGCGCATGCTCATCCCAGGACTCATGGATCTTAATTATGCTTCTGAGCTGTGGTGCATATTTATGAGCCTGTAATGAGGTGGAAGGGGAGTAAAGATGATCTGGCTCAGGCTAGGAGATCCAACGAGCAGGTGCTCTCTTAAGGCATCGAAAGATTTCCTAGGCTTGTTATTTCATTTTCTACCTCTCTTAGGACGGTAGAGGCAGGAATAATTGTAAAGTGCTGTTTCGAATTAAATGGAGGGAAGGGAGTGACTTCTCGGCCCCATTGTTTCTGACTGCACTGGACAGGTACGGCACAGTGAGCAGGTCCTCGAGGACGTCCTATCCAGGGTCTGGGTACCTTCAGATCGAAGCCTCAGGTGAAGCACACAGACAGGCGATGTGGAGCCAACCCGAGTCAGCTCTGTAAGACAAGCTCTGCACTGACCTTGCACAGAAAGCCTGCCACAGGGGACATCGTCTCAATAAGGAGATAATTGGCCTGTATTTTTCTTTCTGGTGGCCTAAGGAGCTCGAAGATTCCTGGGGGCAAGAATGCTTCACCACATGCCGAGTCCCTTCCTTGGGCACCAGGGAAGCACCTAGACCTCCCAGGTCTTTCCTTGGCTAAGACTGGGCGATTTATTCGCTTGGGCTGGGCTCCAGAGGGAGATGCACTTTGTGGATGTACAAGTGAAGAGTCATTGTCGCTCTTCTGGTCAGGACATCTGGGCCAGCAGGCCTGGCACTTTCCTAAGGACTCAGGCAGAGAAAATGCCATCTGTCATCCAGCACACTGGCTTCATTCCTCTGCCAATAAGCTACGCTTGCAAGACAATCTACTGGTTGTGGTAGGGACAGAAAGATGATCAGCCATGGACCTGCCCTCCAGAAACATCTGCACTTTAGTAAGAGGGAAGAAGACCAAAGCAAGTCTTGTCCTTACATCCTCCCGCCTGGGCCCTGGGCCCTGGGCCCCTTCACACCCCTGGCTATGGTCTAGCCAGCCCTCCTGCTTCCTCCCTGATGCTGGGGGCTGAGTTCCTCCTTCGGCCTTCATGGCACAGGGCCCCAGAGGGTCCTGGGCCCACGGAAATGAGTAAATGAGGAGCTTATGATCTCTGCCCCAGCTGGAGTTAGGCTGGCTCCTCAGCAGGTGGCCATCAGCCACCATGCCTGCTGCTGAGACCATAGAAATCTACCCTGGGCTGAGGATCCCCAAGTCCTGAGCTGGCAGGGTTCCACACTGGTAAGAGGAGCCCGGGGCCCATTTCCGTCAGCCTGTCCCAGCCTGGCCAGAGCTGAGGCCCCTCCCTGAGATACAGCTGCTGACGCCCCCTAAAATCCACAGAAAGATGGTGGGCTCAGGAGAGTCCATCGCCCTGCTGACTCCCCAAGGACCTCCTTCTGTCTGGAGTTCTGCCTCCCTCCATTAGGGGCTTGGGAATTGGCTGCTTCCTCCTCACTCCCCATGCCTTTGGGAGAGAATATTCTAGACTAGAGCACAGGCCCAGGAATCAACCAGGCATAAAGCATTTTGGCCACAACCCTCCAGGGTTTCAGACTTTGGTGTTGTTGGGCACAGGCACCTGTGTATTTTACCCATGTTTTATTTAGTCTCCACACAGCCTGTGAGATAGCTATTATCATCCCTATTTTGAAAATGAACAAACCAAAGCTTAGGTCATTGCCCTGACCTGGTATAATATTTATTGAGCAACTACTATGTGCTAAGTGTTACAGATGTAACAAACGAAACAGACTCCCTCCTAGCACTTGCCTTCAGAGGCGGTCACTTGCCCAGGGGGAAGTGGGATACATTAGGGTTGGTTCTCAAACCCAGGGCTGGTGCTTTTCCTACCACACCTGTGAACTGATTTGCCCTCAGAACATTCCACTCCTGGAGAGCACAGACAGTCCCCTGGCAGCACCTTGGGACTGAGGATTCGGGAGCAAGCCTGACCCATTGGCTGCCATTTCTAGAGACCTCTGTTTGCCCGACTTCCCCCAGTTCCAGCAGCCATAACCCTCATTGAGGCTGGTTGAATGCTTGATGCCCATCCCCCCCCCCCATGGTTTCCCCAGGGAGGAAGGAGCTTTTCCCACATGGATTCCCCAAGGGGATGGGAGTAGTCTGTGTGATGGGATCACTGGGCACCTACTTCTGGGCTGAGGTGGGGAATCCCCTTGGGTTTCTCTGGGTTTATGGGAGGGGCCTATTGCTTTCCTATAGCTCAGGCCCTCAAGGGAAGAAAATGGAAGACCACGGTTGGTGGCAGGACTAAATAAGCCTCAGATCTGAGTGGCTCCCTGTGTTTGGGCTCAGCTCCTGCCCTCCCTGGTGCTCCCTGGCTGCCTCTTGCTGCCCTGAGGTTGTTACCCCTCCACTGGGGACTGACATTTCTTTTAATGCAAGGAAACAATCTGACCCTACCATGGTGGCACAGAGCTATAATTCTAGCTACTCAGGAAGGTGAGGGCAGGGGATTTTTAAGTTTGAAACTAGCCTAGGCAACTTACCAAAACCCTATCTCAGAAATAAAATACAAAAAGAGGAGGGAGGCTGGAGATGTAGCTCAGTGGTAGAGCATTTGCATGGCAGGTGGAAGGCCTTATACCTAAAAAGAAAAAAAGCAGCAATCTAAGATTTGCAACCTCCACACCCCCATCAAGAAAAAAATACGATTGTTCATTAGAGAATTTTCTTACAGTAGCAATCACTGGAAATAATTGAAACGGCCAGTGCTAGGGGTTTAAATACTGTGGAAACTTACTCATAATTAAGTACTATACAACCATTAAAATTATCATGCAGAAGAAAATGACCAGAGAAGAACGCTTTATAATAGATTAATCAAAATTCAGGTCACAAAGCACAATGTACGTGATCTCACTTTTTAAAAATACATTTATATATGCATAGAAAACGCCTGGAAGGATGCATATGAAATGTTAGTTGTCGTTATCTCTGAGCAGTAGAATTTTAAGTGGCTTGTCTGTTTTCGATATTTCCCAAATCTCCCTCAGTGAAAATGCATGTCCTTTGTATCATGGAGTAAAAAAATCCACAGTATGTAGTGGACAGAGGTTTACTTTTGGCTCCTTACCTAGATGGCCCCTGGCTCCATTCATTCCTGGAATGCAGATGCTGCAGAAGTTGTGTGCAAAGCCTGGGAGCAGGGGAGGAGGGCCTGCTTGAGAACTAGCTGGCCGTCATGGTCCAGGTCTGTCCCAAGTGCCCTCTCCCAGAGAGGCCACCTTCCCAAATTCACCTCACAGAGAGAGCTTCCACACTCCTGTCTTCTACCTCCTTTTATTGCCCTGCAGTTCTTGCTTACATCTGAGGTGATTGCTTATCTGTCTGCTTGGTGGCTCTTTGTCTCCATCAGAAGGCAAGCTCCATGGGATGGCACCTTGTCTGTCCTGCTCACTCTGACTTCCCATCCCAGGAGGGGCTCAGGTTAGACTGCAGTTGGTAAGGAATTGAGGCCTTGCTCAGCACCCCACACCATAAGCATTTATGCTAAGGCTGCCTATGATAGTGAGAAATGGGAACAATGTCATGGGATTCGGGAACAGGCAGAGAGCTGGCTTCTGGGGCCAGAAACACTTGGCGACCAGGAGGCCCTGGCTCGGAATCAGCAATAGGAGCTGCCACTTACAGGTGCAGATGAGCCAGCTTTGTGCCCTGCCTTTCCCATTTGAGGAAGGGGTGGGGGCACTGACTTGTCTCCCCGTCCCCTTTGGGTCCAGCCCTCGGCTACCAGGTATCTCTGTGTCCCTGTCCCCACTCCATTCACACCCTCACCTTCTTTCTCCATGTAAGAGTTCATCATGTAGCCATTCTGCTGACTCTGCCACAACCAGGAACAAATGACGCCAAGATGCTGAATCCACTTGTACTTCTCTGCCCTTGTACTAATTGACCTACACAGTGGATTGCTTCCCGTGCCCCCCCACTGTACTTGCAATTCCTTCCCACTCTCCTTTGCTGAGATATGGAAGGTGCCCGGCCCTTGGACCGCTTCCCTGCTGAGGCCCATCCTGCCAGGGATAGTCTCCTGTGCGATGACCTTGAAGACCTACCTGCTGGACTTGCAGATTGTCAGTTCTGCATCTCCCCTAAAATACAGACTCTCATACCCACCCGAGCGTCTGAAAGGCATCTCACAGTTAACAGATCCCAAACTGGGTTCCTTAGCTTCCTCCCAACCGTGCGCCATCTGCAGACATGTGCAGTTCAGAAAATGGCATCCCATCCTCCCAGGGGCTCAGGCCTAAATCCTGGGAGTCCTCCTCCACTCTTCTTTTCTCTCTAGTCCATCAGAAGATCCTCTTGGCTCTACTTTCTGCAATCTGACCACACCTCAGCTCCTCCATGCACTGTCCTAGGGCTCACTTCTTTCGAGTCTTCCTTTGGAGTTTCCCTTTCAGATGCCCTGCCTTCCCTGACACACTGTTTAGAATTTGGCACTCCTTCCTGACCCTCCTTATTCCCCACTTCTGCTGTACTGTGTTCTTCATAGCACTTAACATGTCCGACTATTATATTTATTTATATATTTATATATATATAGGTACCGGGGATCGAACTCGGGACCTTGCGGTTGCAAGGCAAGCAGCAGAACCACTGAGCTAAATCCCCAGTCCCCAACTACTAAATTTTTTTTTTTGGTACCGGGGATCAAACTTGGGTCCTTGCACTTGCGCAGCAGGCAGAGAAACCACTGAGCTAAATCCCCAGCTCCCCCCACTATTAAATTTTTAATGTATTTCTTTTGTGGGTTGTTGGTATCTCCTAGTAGACCACAAAACTGCAGGCAGCTTTGTCTGTTTCATCCACTGCCGTATCTCTGGAGCTCTATGACAGTGCCTGGCATGGACTAGGTACTCAATAAGTATCTGCTACATAGGTATCAAATTAATCCAGCCGAATCAATGAAAATGAGTGAATGGTTTATATAAGGTTTTGAGAAGAGATGGAAAAAACACTGGGGCCTCTGCCAGCATAGAAGCATTAGCAGGCTGAGTGAGAAGGACATGCCTGAGTGGACAATGCCCCTGCTGGAGGCCGTGCTGCCACCGTCTGCCTGCGGCCTGCAGCCGGCTGGGGTTCCTCTGAGGAGCTCCCTGCAGATGTTGCCTTCCTCACCTCAAAGGCCATCCCCCAGCGCTGTTTAATCATTTACTGTCCTTTCTTTTCTTCAGGTGCCAGAGTTTGCAGCCTGTTGGGGAAAACCAACATCAAGGTAAGAGAGCAGTAAGACTGTGATTGGTTCAGACTTCCTGAACCTGGTGCTCCAAGTGTCAGCAGCCCAATAAAATGAAAGCCCGGGGACTTTTTCTGACTCCTGGACAGAGTGTGAACCTTGGGGGCAGGGGACTGCTCAGCATTGTCAGCAGTGGCTGGGGGTCCTTAGATCCTGTGTCTTAATCTGTTTTCAACAGAGTATGTGAGACTGGATAATTTATTAAGAAGAAGCTTATTTAGGCCCACAGTTCTGGAGTCCAAGAGCAGGGGCTGCACCTGGGATGGATCTGGTCCTTTGCTGTAGTGAGTGAGGTGGCCAGGACGGGAAGGGAGGTGAGCGTGAGGAACAGGAAGCCAGAGGAGCTGGGCTCACCTCGAACAACCTCTGCTGATCACCTGTTGCAAGCCCCTCTTCCAGCACAATGGCCCTCAGATTTCCCCGGGTTCAGAGGAGACTAAGGGCAGCTCCGAGGGGGACAGTGCTTACCTTGGGAAAGCCCAGTGTGGGCCCACAGGACAGCGTCCTGCTCCTCTTTCCTGGTTCCCTCCAGGCCCCCTGCCTAGCACTCTGAAGCCACAGCAGCCTTGGCAGAGAGGATCTAGGGTTGTTTTTGTTTGAATTTATTAGAATCTTTCAAGCATAGGATTCTTCTGTACAAACTGTAAAAAGTGAAAATGCTCAATGAATAATGAATGTGAGAGAATGCACACAGCTAATGTGATTGGAAAAAGTTGGCTTTTAAAACTGTCTAGTCTTCCCAAGTTCGATCCCCGGTACCAAAACAAACAAACAAACAAACAAAAAACTGTCTAGTCTGGGTATGGCAACCCTAGTACTAGGAAGACTGAAGGTTTGAGTCTGGCCTGGGCAACTTAGGAGACCCTGTCTTAAAATTTAAAGAGCTAGATTTAGAAACTATCTTGAAAACTTATATTCAAATAAATCAGAGAATCTAGGAAAAGTAGATAAATTCCTAGGCACATATGACTTAACAAAATTGAATCAGAAAGGTACAAAAATCCAGAACGGGGCCAGGGATTTAGCTCAGTGGTGCTGGCGCCTGCCTCGAAGGTGCAAAGTCCTGAGCTCAATCCCTGATAACTCCCCCGCCCCCAAAAAAACTCAGAACAGTCCAATAACAAGGAATTAAATTGATGTGGTGTCTTATTTTTTCTCATTCCGGAGACAAAATACTAGACACCCAAAGTTAAAAGAGAAAAGGTTTATTTAGCTCACAGTTGGTAGAGGTTTCAGTCCATACTCAGCAGGCTCCAAAGCAGAGAGGCATCACAGAGGAGAAACAGTTCATAGCAGGCAGAAGGCAACAAAGCAGTGAAGTATTGGAGAAGAAGCAAGCAGCAAGCTTTGTGTCCCTTATATTTTATCTAGGCTACCTGCCCTTAGGGTGGGTAGCACTCACACCTACCTCTGGCCTTCTCATTATCTACACTCAGGACTGACTATAACCAAACCAATCAGTGGACTAATTAAGTAATCACACACCCTTAATCCCAGCATCACACACCCTACATCCAGCCACCTCTGAAAATCCCCACCAGTGACCACATGAGACTTTGGAGGAACATCTACACAAGCCATAACATGCAGTAGTAAAAAATTCTACCAAGAAAAGCTCAGGATTTACCACTGAATTTTATCTGAACTTTAAAGAATGACAGTACTCCTCAAACTTTTCCATGTAATTGAAAGGGAAGAAATGCTTCCAAATCCCAGCACTTGGGAAGCTGAGACAGGAGGATCACCATGAATTGGAGGCCATCCTGGGCTACATAGTTTGGTGATGTGGAAGCCAGCATTACCCTGATACCAAAAAATTGGATTAGGACTCCACAAAAAAAGAACCTACAGCCCAATATCCTTGATGAACATAGATGCAAAAATCCTCAATAAGAGGGCTGGGGATTTAACTCAGTGGTTTCGCTGCCTGCTGCGCAAGCGCAAGGACCCCAGTTTGATCCCCAGTAGTGAAGGGGGCCAGATATTTACAGAGGGCTAGGGATGTAACTCAGTGGCGACATGCCTGCCTCGCAAGCGCAAGGTCCTCAGTTCGATCCCCGGTACCAAAAAAAAAAAAAGATATTTACAAACTGAATTCACGACTCATTAAAAAGATCACACATGACGACCAAGTTGGCTTCATCCCAGGGATACAGGATTATTCAACACACATAAATCCATAAATATAATACAGTCCATAAAGCCAAGAATAAAGATCACATGATCATCTAAAAGGATGCAGAAAAAGCCTTGACAAAAATCCAACACTCTTTCATGATTAAAAAAAAATACTCGGATGAAAATAGGTGTAAATGAGGGCTTTACCTCAAATTGATACAACCCACCTATGACAGACCCACAGCCAATGTCATATTAAGTGGAGAAAACAAAGCTTTTTCTTAAATGAAAGAGGAGCGGGTGTCCTGTGGAGACCAGATGGGAAGAAGGAGGCCTAACTGGCCTGCTCGGAGATCCCTGAGGAGAGAGAGGGCGTGTGAGCGTGCTCACACGCTGCAGGGGAAGTAAGAACACCTGAGGTTGAGGTGTTCACCCGGAGAAGCACCGTGGAGGGCGGAGACAGACAGATGCGGCCTGTGGAACTCTAATGGCTCTGACTGAGTTGAGCGAATAAAGCCAACATGCACCAGGCACTTGGGGCTCTATGTGGAGGGGAGACATGAGCCTCCTGGCACTCCAAATTTTAACCTGTTTCTGTGTCTCCTTTTTTTTTTGGTGCCAGGGATTGAACCCAGATCCTTTTGCTTGCACATCAGGCGGCGAAACCACTGAGCTAAATCCCCAGCCCTGCGTCTCCTTATTTTTCATCCTCGTCACCCCTTGGTCAGGTTCAAGCTCATAGGCTGGTTCCTACAGTGTCCACTCTCGACAGTCCTCCTCAGTGTTTGTGTACTGGAAACTTCAGTGAGAGCAAGCAGGTTTAAGAGAAAGCAATAAAAGGGGTACGAATAGGAAAGCAAGTTAAACAATTCCTCTTTGCAGATGATATAATTATTTACATAGAAGACCCCCCAAAAAAACTCTAGTAGAGGAGTTTTAGACCTGATAAACAAATTCAGCAAAATGCCAGGATACAAAATCAACATACAAATAGTGTTTCTATACACCAATAATGAATCCATCAAGAAAGAAATCAGGAATTCATTTCTGTTCATGATAGTTGTGGTGGATTAACTAACGGTCAAGTTGGAATGCTCAGCTGAACTGAATCAGGGTGGTTCTGGGTGTGCAAGACCCACCTGAGGATTGTTGCCAATGGCAGAAAAAGAACTGGAGGGGAAGATCGTGTGCTGTTGATTTTTGGGGCACGGGGCAGGGTGGGGAGCTTACCGTGGCTGGTTTTCCTGATGCAAACTTGGCTGCTCTCATAGAAGGAGGTGCTTGGGGTCTCGCTGGCGCTAGGAATGGCTACTGTTCTCAGCAGGAGAGCTCTGGTCTTTACCTGGAGAATCACTTCCTGGCTCCAGTGCAGATCCCTCAGCCTGGTGGCACTGATCCTTCACCTCACCAGTTCAGGCTTTCTAGCTTCCAGTGGCCTTTGTGGCTTGCCGGTACAGATCTCTGATATGGACAAGCATGAGACACTGCCGTGGGCTCTAGGCCTTTAGCTGGGCCACTGCTGTGGGATCCAGGCCATCGGCTGGATTCTTTGGGTTTCTAGTGTGTGTACAGATCTCTTGTACTCCTCCACATTTCATTTTCTGGGTGAATATTATAAAATAATCCTATAAATTATATGTCCTGTATTAGACTACAATAGTTTAAAAAAGACTAAAAATACCAAGGAATCATCCTAACCAAGGAGGTAAAAGGTGTGTGTAATGAAAATTACAGATCTTTGAAGAAAGTGCCAGGGATGTAGCTCAGTGGTGTGGCGCCTGCCTGGCAAGCACAAGGTCCTGAGTTCGTCCCCCGGAAGGGGTGGGGGTAGAACAATATGTGAAATAAACATATATATTGGGCCGGGATATAGCTCAGTGGCGCTGCCAAGGCCTGGCAAGCACAAGGTCCTGAGTTTGATTCCCGGTGCCAGAAAAAAAAAAAATTGAAGACAGTAGAAAATGGGAACACATCGGGCCGGGGATTTAGCTCAGTGGTTTTGCCGCCTGCTGAGCAAGCACAAGGACCTGAGTTCGATCCCTGGTACCAAAAAAAAAAAAAAGAAAGAAAGAAAATGGGTTGTTGGATAGCCAGAATTAACATTGCTAAAATGGCCATATTACCAAGTGCTCTATAGATTTATACAATCCCTGTTAAAATATAAACAACATTCTTTACAGAACTACCAAAAACAATTCTAAAATTCATATGAAACCAGAAGAGACCGAGAATAACCAAAGCAATCCTGAGAAAAAAATAAAAGTTGGAGACATCGTAATACCAGATTTAAAGTTGTACTACAAAGCTATAGTAAGAAAAACAACATGCTCCTGGCCCAAAAGTAGACATGTAGACCAGTGGAATAGAACAGAAAATACAGAAACACACTGGGGATTTAGCTCAGTGGTGCCGATGCCTGCCTCACAAGCACAAGATCCAAAGTTCAATCCCTAGTACCAAAAAAAAAGATACAGAAACACCCTCATACACCTACCACCAACAATTTTTGACAAAGGGCCAAAACCATATGCTGCAGAAAAGACATCCTCTTTAGCAAATGGTGGAGCATGCCCAGCACTTGGGAGGCTGAGACAGGAGGATCACCATGAATTCCAGGCCAGCCTGGGCTACATAGGGAGTTCAAGACCAGCCTAAAGTACATAGCAAGACTGTCTCAAAACAAACCAATGGTAGGGCCAGGGATGTAGCTCAGTGGCACCACACCTGGCTCCCAAGCACAAGGTTGTGAGTTCGATCCCCAGGACCAAAAAAATAAAATAAAATAAATGGTGCTGGGAAAACAACTTACCTACATGCAGAAGATTGAAATTAGATCCCTGGGGGCCAGTGATTTAGCTCAGTGGTTCCGCTGCCTGCCTCACAAGCACAAGGTCCCGAGTTCGATCCCCAGCACAAAAAAAAGGAAAGACAAGAAACTAGATCCCGGGGCCGGGGATTTAGCTTAGTGGTTCTGCCACCTGCCTTGCAAGCGCAAGGTCTTGAGTTCAATCCCCGTTACCCAAAAGAAAAAAAAAAGAAACTAGATCCCAGTCTCTCATCCTGTATTAAAATAAAATCAAAATCGATCATAGACCTAGATATAAAAACAGAAACTCTGAAACTGCTGAAAGATAAAGGGGAAAAAATTGAAGCCATAGGCACAGGCAAAGACTTTCTTAACAGAAAACTCCAATAGCACAGGAAGTAATATCAAGAGTCAACAAATGAGATTACATCAAATTAAAAGGCTTCTGCACAACAAAGGAAACAGTCAACAGAGTGAAAAGACAACCTACAGAATGGGAAAAAATTACAAGTTACTCCTCTGGTAAAATCTAGACAATATAAATAACTCAAAAAATTAACCCCGAAAAACAAATGACCCAATCAAAAAATGGGCAAATGCACTGAATAGACATGTCTCAAAAGAAGTATAAATGGCCAGCAGGTACATGGAAAAATGTCCATCATCGTTATCCATTAGGGAAATACAAATCAAAACAATTCTGAGATTCCTCCTTACCCTGGTCAAAATCCTATCATCGAGAACACAAACGCAATAAATCTTGGCGAGGATATGGGGAGAAAGGAAATCCTCTACATTGTTGGTGGGAATGTAATCTAATGTAACCACTGTGCAAGCACAAGAGACTCAGTGTGGAGATTCCTCAAAAAACTAAAAATAGAAATTCGATTTGACCCAGCAATACCTCTCCTGGGTATCTTACCAAAAGAATTAAGCACATTATGCTCAGAGATACATGTTTACTAATTTTTATAGCAGATCAATTCACAATAGCTAAGCTCTGGAAACAGCCTAGATGCCAGGCAACAGATGAGTGGATAAAGAAAATGTGGTGTGGCATATATACACAGTGGGACATCATTTACCCATGAAGAACAAAATCATGTTATTTGTAGGAAAAAGGGTGGGATTTGAGAACAGAAAATGAAGCAAAATTAGACACTGCAAGTTAAATATTGCATGCTTTCTCTCATATGAGAAATCTAAAATATGAGTAAATAAATACATGAATGGGTATAATAAAGAAGTGATGGTGGGAAATAAGAAGGCAGACTTTTTGGAGATGGGGAAAGGGATCAGGGAGTGGGAGGAGACAAGGAGGGAAGGTAAGAAGATTGGAAAGGACCAAGATTTGTTATATGTATGTGCCAGTTCGTCAACACAGATATCATTAAAAGCACACACTAATACTAATATCAATAAATAGGTTCAATCTTCAGTATCACAAAAAAGGTCTAACCTTTGACCAAACAATTCTACTTTACTTTTTTAAGGAAAATAAACATATTTTTGCTAAGGTGTATGTGCAAAGATATTTATAACTGTGTTGTTTATAATGCGGGGAGGCAAACATCTGAAAGCCCAATAAATTGGTGATTCAAAAATTTTCACATCTATGCAAGGGTGTGTCGTGCAGTAGAATGCTGTAGAGGTGTACTTGTCGAGAAATGTATTTAGATATATTGTTTTTGAGCAAAGAAAAAGAAAAACAGAAATCTTACATCACATACAAGGAAAGTAGCCTTAGACTCTGTATGGGGAGTTACACATGACCGATCTCTTAGCCAGCCTGAGAAGAGGGCAAAAAATGTGATTTTCCCGAGCCTCTGTCTCCTGCCTGTAAAATGGGCCTACCTCAAAATTGGGAGGACGTGGTGACAGGAACACAGCACGGCCTGCAGTGTGCCAAGTGCTCAGCAGATGAGGGCTCAGGGGGAACGTGGACCTAAAGAATGCGTATTTGTGTAGAAGCCTAGAGATCATCAGGGAAAGGGATGTTTGGTTGGATTTTTGGCTGAAGAATTTTGAATGGTATTTAGTATTTTATTATTTTTCTACAAGGAATACATACTATTAATGTAACGATGGTATACTTTTTTAAAAGTAAGTAACAGGCCAGGGATTTAGCTCAGTGGTTCTGCCGCCTGCCTTGCAAGCGCAAGGTCCTGAGTTCAATCCCCGGTACCAAAAAAAAAGTAAGTAACAACTGAAGAGGTTGGGGGTGCAGCACCTTTGCCTTTGGCAGGCCGGCCAGCTTTGTAGCCCTGGGACAGAGCTCTGGAGGGCTGAGAGAGAGGCAGGGCAGAGAGGGTAAAGGAAAGACAATGGGTGAAGGGAGAGGTCATTTTATCAGGCCAGAAGGCTGGTGGCCATGGAGAGCTAAGGCCCATCTACCCCAGGCTGAGATGACAATGAGCACGCTCAGGCTTCTCCTGCTGAGACAACATGGCGCTAGCACATCTAGAGAGCAGCCTTGTGACTCCAGCCCTGAGCCTGACTCCTCACCCACCTTCAGTCAACCCAGCATTTTACCTCTGTTGGGAGTTAGAAAAGCAAGGACTCCTACTGAATTCCCAGAAGTAATCTTAAAAGAAATTAGCACCTCTCTAGAGCCATGCAGACTCTTAAGAGACATGTTCTGTCTCCTTGTTCCAGTTATCTATTGCCGTATAGTTATCAAAACTCTGTGGCCTAAAACAACTGCTGCACCACTTTATTATGCTGCACGTCAGGGACCCAGACAGGGCTCAGCTCATCTCTAGTCTGCAGTATCTGGGGCTAAGCCAGAATGACTAGAATGACTGAGGGTGACTGGAATGGTGGCTGGGAGCTGGAGCAGCCGGGGCTGAAGGATTCATCCAAGATGGTTTACTCACTGGGCCAAGATCGCTGGAAGGCTGGGTTCAGCTGCGCCGTTGACCAGAGAGCACACACGGCCTGCCTAGCACAGTGGCCAGGCTGCTGAACTCATGTGGTATAGCTCAGATCTCCAGGGGCAAGTGTTCTGGCCAGTAAGATGGAAGCTACACAAGGTTCTATGGCCTGGTTTTGGAAGTCATGCAGCATCACTTCCACTTTAGTCACAAAAAGGCCAGACTGAAGGAAGAAGACAGACCCTCATCTCAGTGAGAGAAGTGTTGAAGAACTGGCGGCCCTGTTTAAATTTAATAGGGTGGTATAGGTCTAGGGCAGTTCAAGTGGAGGCAAGGGGGTGGGACATTGACTCCTACTGTTCAGGCTCCACACTTGATTCTCTTCCTGTTTTCACCCCTCCATTCACTTACCCTCCTGCCAGCCCATGTGCCACTGCATGCAGGGGCGGGACCTGGGAAGGATTTCAACCACTTTTCCTGGTCCCTTAACCCCACTGGCCCCTGCACCTGACCCTACCACCCACAATACCTAGTCTCCCAGTCTGAGCTCCTCTGGGGTTCTCGGGGTGAAGCCTTGCATCTGTGTGCCCCTCCGCCCTGGGGGACTGGCTTGGCTGTGTCAGCCATGGCCCCTCCATCTACTCTCTCCGGCAGCCAGGAGTCTGGAGATTCCTCTACCACTCACGTCCCCTCTCCCAAGCTCCGGGCCTCTGAGGGTTTATACCATCTGACTTCTTGGCTGGAGTTTTAGTGCTGCTGCAGGACATGAACAACCTGGCGTGTCGGCTGGAAGCCTGTTGTACCTCTTATGGATGAATACATCTCTAATTTGGTTACAGTCCTTTCAGCCCTGTAAAAGTACAGTGTTAAGTAGCACAGTGGCCACACCTCTCACTGACAAGTCAGGGTCATCTTCATGAACATACATGCTTACCTTGGAATGGTCAAACCAGGGAGAGTCTCGGTCTCCATGCTGCGGACCTGGTCACTGCGTTGGGATTCTTGAGACCTTTCTTCTGGCTATCTCTGGCTCTGGCTGCCTCTCATCCCATGATCCCATGTACCTGTTGAGGAGACACGTGGTACCAAGTTAACTTCTGACTCATTATCTTAGCGTGGCTAAGCCAGAGGACCAGGCCCAGCAGCCCTTGTCATCTCCCGCCCAGTCCTGTGCCTGTCAGCTTTCTGCCCTCCCCCACTCCTCCCAGGTTTTGACCTTGGCGGAGCGCATGAGCCACAATCGTGTCCTCAGGTTTTCTCCTGGGTCTGGCCAGTTGAGAATCTTGCCACGATTGGAGGGTGGAAGAGACTGGTCTTGGGGCACTTAATACCCCAGCTCCTCCCCTCGCTAGGCTTCGGGTCTGCAGCGTCTGTATTCTTCACCCTCAAACCACAACCTCTGCCAGGCGCCCTTTCCAGCCTTAACCTCTGTGCTCCTCCGCCAGAGCATCACCGTCACCGCTTCCTGCTGCTGGGCCTTGGCGCATGGATTTCTCTTCCCGCCTACCCATTGTAAACAGTCCCGTCCCTAAACTCTCCTCCTGACCTGAGGGGTGTGCATCTGTTTCCTGCTGAGACTCTGACCAGTAGGAAGGCTTTTCTGATCTGAATGTAACATAAGACCCTCCTAGGGGTCCTGGGTGTGAGCTTTGGGACCACTCTAGGCCACACGGGCTTTTTTTGGTCGCCATTCACATCCTAGTTCTTAACTGTAATACGGGTAATAGAGGGCTCTGGATTAGTGAGTTTTTATTAGAGTGTTTTAAAAAGGAAAATAGGTATGTAAATAAAGGGAAAATAGGACAGAATTTATGACTTCCTGAAGTTGTATGGCAAGAAAACACCCACAGTTTTAGAAGAGGTTTCAGCGCCATCCTGGACCACAGACCCTTGCTGGGTCTGCAAGCTGAGTTGAATTTTGGGGGACAGCCAGGCAGTGTCTGGGCGGGCTTCCTCCACACCTCAAGGGGAAGTGCCGCAGGTGGACCTGCCTTACCTATGTGGCTCCCAGTCAGTTTTGTTTACTTTTATTCTATTCATTCATTCATTTATTTATTTTTGTGGTACTGGGGACTGAACCCAGGACCTTCTCATTGAGCTGCTTCTTTTTTTGTGTGTGGTACCGGGAATAGAACTCGGGTCCCTGCACCTGTGCAGCAGGCGGCGAAACCAGAGCTAAATCCCTGGCCCTTGTTTTGTTTTTTGAGCCAAGGTCTCACTGTGTAGTTCAACTGGCCTCACTATGTAATACAGGCTGGCCTCAAACTCACACAGTCCTCCTGCCTCAGCCTCCCAAGTGGTGGGATTACAGGTATTCGCTACAATGCCTGGCATAAGCTTAATTATTTTCTTTATTTCGAGACAGAGTCCTCACTAAGTTGCCCAGGCTGGGTTTGAAATTGCATTTCTCCTGCCTCAGCCTTGCAGAGTGCTGGGATTAAATGAGCTGCCACCACACCCAGCAAGTTTGGCCCTTTGAGACTTTTGCTCTGAGGAGGGTCGTGTACGGGTCTGTACACTGGCATGAGGTCACACTAGAGCCCAGAGTGGCCCAGGCCTTGTCCACATGTCACACCAAGCTCCCCTGTGCTCGGCTTCAAGTCCAGCCTGCACCACTCTGCAGTCACGCCTTGGATTTTTTTCCCTCCTCTCTGTCCTGGCACCCGTCAGCCCTCATTTTTCTCTAATTTCTATAACTCTTCTAAGCACGCATATCTCTGTGGGAAAAAACAAAACAAAGCAAAATCAAGAACCTCTTCAGGCCACTCACTTCCTGAAGCTCAAAAAAGAAACATTTCATAAACGCTGCTTTAAAAAGACAACAGGAAGGGGTAGTGTCACTCTGGCTGGAAAAGCTTGTCATTGTGGCATTTCCCACACGAGGCAAGGTGGAGCATGGAGGTGACATGCCACACATGTTTGGCTCAGCCAGACCCCTCCAGCCCACTCCTGCAGAGCTCTGGGCCCTCAGCACTAGGCTGAAGGAAGGGTCCCAGAGGAACAGGGAGGAGACGGCCAGGGAGGTGGAAGGTTGCAGCTTCAGCAGAGAGAGATGCTTTTACACTCCTGCCTTAGCCATGCTGCTTTGACCTCTTGGGATGTTGAAAAACTTAGCTACTCTCAGGGCTGGGGACTTAGCTCGGTGGTTCTGGTGCCTGCTGCACAAGTGCAAGGTCCCGAGTTCGATCCTGGGCACCAAAAAAAACCTTAGCTACCCTCGAGTGGTACACCTGCTACCAGATTAGCTTGTCCTCCTGCAGCCCACACTGCTCAGAGTCCTTAACCAAGTGAGCCCAACCGAGGTGCCCAGCGTCCCTGTCCAGCAGGAGTGCAGGCTGGGCCAGGCTGAGACACCACACTGCAAGGTAGATATGCAGGGCCAGCGCCAGAAGACCAGCCTGCAGCTCAGTCCATCCACTGGGGACAGCAGGGCCCCAGAGGGCGAGAGGATGCTGGCTCGGGCCTTGCCACAGCAGCAAGTTCATGGTCCATTTCTGTCAAAGTGCTGTTGAAGTGAGCACATGGTCCATGTTTCTGGAAGGGCAGATGGCGCCGTGTGTGAGCCTGTGTCCTGCGTTACCCTGTCTAGGCTGCCTGCAGTTTGATGAGAGTATGCTAGAAGTCGGCCATGGCCAGGGAGGTGGCCATCCTGTACACGGAATAGGAAGTTCTCAGCCGCACACTGAGAGGCAAGCAGGGCGTTGCAAATTCCTAATCTGGACACAGAGGCCAAGGAGCAAGGACATGGTCTGGAGCCCAGAGCTGGCTGCTACCCTGAGTCAGAGCTCCCCACCCTACCCGGCTTGAAAGAAGTGCCTCTGCCTGGCCGGCAGCCCTGGGAAACCCAGCTGCCACCTCTCTGTAAGTGGCCCTGTAGCGGTGGTGCTGTGTGGTGATCCACTTCCTTGAGGCGGAGCCCGTCTTGTTACCATTACACACTGTGATGCCCTGATGCAACCCTTTCCACAGTCTGCAGAGGAAGAAACATTACAGCAGCCTGCCGCAACACCACCTCTGCCCAGACCCTGGCAGACCCTGGCATCCTGTTGCTCTCGGCTGGGCTGGCTTCTGTCAGGTCCTCTTGAGGCCTATGAGTGGATCTGCTCTTCCAGTACCTTCACTCCTGGCTGCACATACCAATCATCTGGGAAATTAGAAAATAGCGATGCCTGAACCTGGACCTCACCCCCACCCCAAAGATTCTGCTTAAGTTGATGTGGGTTTCAAATAACTTTTAAAATAAAGTTTTTATCAAAGGCTAACACACACATCAATTTTTGGTTTGGTTTGGTTTGGTTTGGTTTGGTACCGGGAACCTTACGCTTGCAAGGCAGGTGGTAGAACCACTGAGCTAAATCCCCAACCCCACATCAATTTTTTAAAAAGCACAAACCATATGTGTAAAGCTGGGTGAATTTTCACAAAGTGAACTTAACCCAAGGAACTGGGATCCAGATTAATAAGGAGCATCCCCAGCCCCAGTGGGGTCCTCTTCCAGTCACTGTGGGCTCCAAAGTTCTCTCTAACCACAGCTCTGGTTTCTATTGGTATCAATTGCTTCTGCCTGTTTTCAGACAGTACATAAGAGTTACATGGTACATGTTCTTTCTTCTCTGGCCTCTTCCACTCATCGTTATGTTATGAGATGACTCACCTCATTGCTTATGCTTGTTGTGGTTTGTTCGCTCTTATTACCATAGATCACTGATGGCAAGCCTTTCCAAGCTGTTAGTAATACAAACAGCCCACTACGGCACGTGTGCCATAGGTTCGCTACCACTGCCTTAAAAGAGTATTCTACTGTGTAGATTTTCCTCAGTTTATCCATTCTACTACTGATGGATGTTTGAATTGTTGTTTCCAGTTTGGAGCTGTTACAACTGCTACTGCTGTAAATATTCTAGTGTGTGCCTTTAGGAGCACATTCTACATTTCTTTTTTTTTTTTTTTTTGGTACCGGGGATCAAACTCAGGACCTTGAGGTTTCAAGGCAGGTTTCAGAACCCCTGAGCTAAATCCCAAGCCCATTATACATTTGTCTTGGGTACAGACCTAAGAGTGGAATAGCTAGGTAAGTATGGTTGTGTCCTCAGCCTAAGTAACTTTTTTTTTTTGGTACCGGAGATCGAACTCGGGTCCTTGCGCTTGCGAGGCAGGCGACGGAACCACTGGGCTAAATCTCCAGCAAGCCTAAGTAACTTATACCAAATAATTTTCCAAAGTGCTTACCAATTTACACTCGTTCCAGCAATGTGTCGGAGTTCTGGTTGTGTCACATCTTTGTCAACAATTAGTATTTTCTTTTTTACACATTAGCCGTTCTAGTGGGTGTTTGGTGGCATCACAATCACAGCTGGTTTTAATTTGCATTTCCCTGAGGACTAATACAGTTGAGCACCTTTTCATAAGTTCATCGGCCATTTAGGGCATCTCTTTGGAAATGTCTATTACATTTTGGGTAAGAGTGGGTTTTGTTAAAGCTCCTTAGGTAACTATACTGTGCAGCCAAGGTTGAAAACCACTGAACTTGGGCTGAGGATTTAGCTCAGTGGTTCCAGCGCCTGCCTCGAAAGCGCAAGGACCCGAGTTTGATCCCCGGTACCAAAAACAAAACAAAAAAAACCCACCACTGAACTAAAGCACAAATTAGAATCTGCCAGTTCCTTTCTCAATTTCCATCCCTTGAATTTAGAGTTTGGATCTGAGGGATCACATGGACTTGGAGAGAGAGAATCTTCACACACCTACGTGCACGCACACTCTGCTCAAATGCACCTCCCAGTGGAAACAAAGCTTTTGTACAGAGGGAGGGGAGGGGCCTTGAGGGGGGAATGGGATAAAATAAAATTCATTAGAAACGAAAAAAAGCCCAAATGTACCTCCCAGGAAGCAGCCATAGATCAGAGCTGGCAGTTGAGAATCTTCAGGAATGTAGCCTGCACCTCAGCAGGGTCCAAGGAGGTCCGGGGGTGTCCATGGCTGCCACAGACATTTCTTGACCACAAAAATGCCCTGTTGCTGTTCCCCCGGGAGTCCCGAGCAATCATGTGTAGGAAGTGGAGGGTCCGTGCCAGGTGCTTCCCAGGTTCTAGGCCACTGTGGACAGGACGCAGCTCACTCTCGTGAGACTGTGGTCAGACTGGGAGCCATGGAGCACATTCCAGGGACCTGGCTGGAGCTGAGGGAGGCCTCCTGTCTGTGCGTTTTGGTCTGGGGGAAAGCAGTCAGTAGGGTTCTCCCACCAGGGTTCGGGCCAGGCCAGCTCTTGAGTTTTGGGGGCTCCTCTCACCTGGAGTGGCCTCTCTGCCCTTCGTGCTGGACTCTCAACTCCCCGGGGACCCTGCTCCAGGACACCGCCTGGCCTCCCGGTCTCCTTGACCTGCGCTCGTCCTCGCCCAGTGGTGGACAGTGAGGCCACCGGGCGGCTCCTGATTACCTGCTGCCTCGGCCGAGTCCCCATTGCATCATCTGTGCTCATCTTGCCCTGGACTGCAGGGCTCTTAGCTCACAAGTAAGTGACATCCATTAATTCAGTAAGGGTTGCAGTTGAATGATCCAATAATAATCCAGGTTCTTGGGTATGATGAGGAAAGAACTGTCAAGCATACACCCAGCAGTAAGTAGTAAGCAGCCACTTTTGCTGAGGATCACCGGAAGTTGTGCTTAGGGCCAGTTCATCCCAACAAAGGTACAACACTGACCGGGAAAGGTGCCAGGCAACAGAAAAGCACGGCACACAGGTCGAAGGTCGCAAGAGCCACACACGAAAAAGCAGCCGATAACTCAGGCTCTCAGAATTTAAAGCCAGACGCCTCTGCTCTAGGTGCCTCTCCCTGACTCTCTAGGTGTGACTGACTGACAGGGTGCTGAGCCCTCTCAGGGGCTGTTAGTGCGCATGCTCATCCCAGGACTCATGGATCTTAATTATGCTTCTGAGCTGTGGTGCATATTTATGAGCCTGTAATGAGGTGGAAGGGGAGTAAAGATGACTGGCTCAGGCTAGGAGATCGAACGAGCAGGTGCTCTTCCCTAGGGAATCAGAGATCTTCTAAGCTTTTTTTTTGGTACTGG